CCCCAAAACCCCAAAACCCCAAAACCCCAAAACCCCAATAATTCTTGTCCTGGTTGAAACTCAGCTTTTAAATAGTCATCCTAACTTGGAGCTCAGGGGGAACTTTAGTCCTCCTTTATCACATGGGGTTTAATATTCTGAACTGACCTATTAGTCTTGCTCTTATCCTCATTTTTCTCAACCCTTGAAAGAGGTTTGAGGTACTTAGTATTGTACTGAACGTTATTTTTAACAATATTAGCAAAATTGTCAAAACTATTAGATTGCTCCATGAACTCATTTACCTTTTGGTATGTAGTGTGTAGTTTTTGCATAAGCTCTTCCTCAACCCGTTCAAGCTTCTCTGCCTTCTGGACGTTATTCTCAGCATTCATTAGCCCAAATATTTTCTTCTGAGAGTATAGCTGTTTTAACTGAGACATTCTCCTCTGAATTCCCTATGAAAAGTCTTAAGAATAAACTTACTCTATTGCGCTTGTTCTGGTTTCTGTATTTTTCAGCGAGGCAGTTTATTTTCTCAATTTCCTTCTGCCTCTGCTCATAAAGGCTAATCATCTTCCTTTTCTCAAGGCCTAGATGATGAGTATAAGGCTAACCTTGTGATGTAAGGCTTTTTATTTGGTGTCTCATTTTCTAAAATTTACAAGTAGAATTACTCTTTTCAAGTGCAAATTTTCTGTCTGTTTATAGTTAATACTGTCTTTAAGCTTCTTCCTAGTATCAGATATTTCCTAAAAATTCTAAAGAGAATTACCCTTTTCTTCTGGCTCAGCTGATTGTTGAGATGGTGCTTATAATTTTGAAGGTCTTGTGAATATTCAAACTTGGATCTCTTGATCTTCGATATCTCATTCGCACGTTTCTTGGCAAGAGCTAGCTGTCTATTAGCCTTCTGTTCTGTACTGTTTAAATACATAATTCGGTTATTTAGGACCTTTATGTTCATCTCTGATGCTTTCTTATTCATCATGATTTCGAACATGCTACAGACATGAGAGAAATGGATAGAGTTATAAAAAGAAATAACAGCTGATACCTACCTACGGTTATTAGCATCATTACTTAGAGTTGCGAAATATGCTCGTTATTATACTCGTTAGGAGTAGCAAGATAGGACTTCTTCTTCGTCCTTTCTCCTTTGTGGCTAATAGACTTTGACCGGGGAAATCTATGAACTTCTTTGTCTGTGTGATATGTCATCCTTTTCTCTCTCTTTATTCTAGGAGAGTTCGTTTGATACACAGAGAAAATATCATAAGCTTTGCTCACCTTCTTCAATACAGATTTTGAGTTCCTTCTTAAAGCTTCATTCTTGGATGTACTCCCACTCGGGTCTAAACTTTCCTGTTTCTGTGCCATTATATGAAAATAAAATATAATTTGTTTCAACTTTCCTACTCAAAATCGGGGTTTTGGGGTTTTGGGGTTTTGGGGTTTTGGGGTTTTGGGG